CAGGGCTGTGGGGGGCCCTTGGAGAGCTGAGGGCTCCTTTGTCTGCCACCAGGCAGCTCCCACGCCAGGACCTGGAAGGGCGTCGTCTGCCTCACCACTGCTGTCCTCTCCACCCTGGCAAGGACTTCCCAATGGCACAGGCAGGGGCAGGGTGGGGCTCTGCCAGACCATCACCTCTAGGTGTGCCTGGAGCCCAGAGGGAGCCTCAGAATCCTTCTTGACACAGGGCTCTAGGAAGCTACCACCTGGCCAGAGTTCGCCTTTCCATCCAAAGCTCTTTGCCACTGCTGGTCCATGCCAGCCATCTGAGTGCCCCCTGTAGGGCTGAAGCCAAGTCCCACGCCTGGCTCTTCTCATCTCCCTGATCCCCAAAGCTGGTTGGGGACAAGACTGGACATCTGCACTCAGCCCGGCTCAGCTGGTCAGCCTCGCCCGAGTCCATTCTGGGGTGGGGATTGTTCCATGGACCCCTCCATCTCTTGGAAATGAAAATCCCAGAGGGCCAGGGTGGGAGAAGTCAGCGTCACGGAAACCAGCTGCTCGGCCGTGCCCTGGACAAAGCCCCTGGAGAGCTGGGTTTTGGTGAGAGCAGGACTTATTTCAGGGCCGCGGGGGCAGGTCTGCAGGACCAGGGCAGGCGCGGGAGTCCTGAGGAAGCCCTGAATAGGGGGCATGGTGCCAATGGCAGGGCCAGACCCATTCCAAGGGTTCCGGTAACACAGGAGGGCACTGGGCTGGGCAGTGGGGGCAGGATGGAGAGGAGAGGGTGCCAGCCCAGGTGGGCTGCCCTCATTCTCATGCAGGCACATCCCCTGTCCCTGCCCCACCGGTAACTGCTGGTCACCTTCATGGGCCTTTCCAGAATGATGTGACCTGGTCCCAGTTGGTGCAGATCTAGGGTTCAAGGAGAGTCATGGGCAGGCTGGGCATGGCTTCTGCAGAGGGCGACCGAGGGCTCAGGCCCCTGAGGAGGGGGAGATGGGCAGGGAACTCCATAAAGAGACCTTCCAAGCACAGCCTGAGTGGCTTAGTGGGGTTGGGGCAAGCTCCTCATGGGTGGGACACCAGCAGGCCTGGTCCGGGCTGGGCAGTGTGCCCCATGATGGTGAATCCAGGAACAGAAAGGGGAGGACAGGGAGAGGCTGGTGCTGTGACCACAGGCCATGCCACAGGACTGGGTATGGACCCTCCTGGGCATGGGCTCTCCTGGGCATGAAGCCTTCTGCTTATGGACCTTCCTGGGCATGGACCCTCCTGGGCACAGACCCTTCTGGGTATGGACATTTCTGGGCATGAAGCCTTCTGGGTATGGACACTCCTGGGCACGGACCTTCTTGGGCATGCACCCTCCTGGGCACAGTCCCTCCTGGCATGAGCCTTTGTATTACTGTTTTCATACTGCTGTAAAGTACTACCTGAGACTGGTTAATCTATAAAGGAAATAGATTTAATTGACTCACAGTTCAGCATGGCTGGGGAGGCCTCAGGAAACTTACAATCACAGTGGAAAGCAAAGGGGAAGCAAAACACCTTCTTCACAAGGTGGCAGGAAGGAGAAGTGCCAAGCCAAGGAGAAAGAGTACCTTGTAAAACTATCAGATCTCAGGAGACAACATGGGGGGAACCACCCCATGATTCAATCACCTGCATCTGTTCTCTCCCTTAACACGTGGGGACTACAATTCAAGATGAGATTTGGGTGTGGACACAAAGCTTAATTTCGCCCCGGCCCCTCTCAAAGCTCACGTCTCTTTTACATTTCAAAACCAGTCATGCCTTCCCAAGAGTCCCTCAAAGTCTTCATTCATTCCAGCATTAACCCAGAAGTCCAAGACCAAAGTGTCATCTGAGACAAGGCAAGTCCCTTCCGCCTAAGAACCTGTAAAATCAAAAGCAAGTTAGTTACATCCTAGATACAGTGAAGGTACAAGTATTGGTAAATACAGCCATTCCAAATGGGAGAAATCAGCCAAAACGAAGGGCCACGGGCCCCATGAGAGTCCAAAATCCAGCAGGGCAGTCAAAGCTTAAAGCTCCAAAATGGTCTCCACATCTCCCATCTAGGTCAGGCTCATGTAAGAGGTGGGCTTCCACGACCTTGGGCAGCTCCACCCCTGATGCTTTGCGGGGTACAGCCTCCCCTCCAGCTGCCTTCACAGGCTGGTGTTGAGTGTCAGGGGTTTTTCCAGGTGCACGGTGCAAGCTGTCAGTGGATCTACCACTCTGGGGTCTGAAGGGTGGTGACCCTCTTCTCACCGCTCCACCAGCAGGAGGCCGGACCCCAGTGGCGACTCCGTGTGGGGGCTCCAGCCCCACATATCCCTCCTACACTGCCCTAGCAGAGGTTCTAGGGAGCGTAGCAACAGTGCAGCACACTTCTGATGTGCCTGCAGGCCCAACACCACATGGAAGCCGCCAAGGTTTGGGGCTTGCACCTTCTGAAGCAAAGGCCTGAGCTATACACTGGCCCCTTTGTTAGCCACTGCTGTGAGGCAGGGCACCGAGACTGCACAAAGCAGCAGGCCCTGGGCTCCACCCACAAAGCCATTTTCTCCTCCTGGGCCTCCAGGCCTGTGATGGGTGGGGCTGCTGTGAAGACCTCTGACGTGCCCTGAAGACATTCCCCGCATCGTCCAGGCTATTAACATGCGGCTCCTAGTTACTTATGCAAATTTCTGCAGCTGGCTTGAATTTCTCCTCAGAAAATTGGTTTTTCTTTTCTATTCCACAGTCAGGATGCAAATTTTCTAAACTTTTCTACTTTGCTTCTCTTTCAAATGTGAGTTCCAATTCCAAGTCATGTCTTTGTGAATGCATGAAACTGAATGCTTTTAAGAGCATCTAATTCACATTTTGAGTGCTTTGCTGCTTAGAAATGTCTTCTGCCGGATACCCCAATCATCTCTCTCACTTTCAAAATTCCACAGATCTCTATGGAAGGGGCAAAATCTTCCTTTTTTTTTTTTTTTTTTTTTTTTTTGCAATCCTCTTCTCAGAACTTGCTGTCTGCTTCCCAGGAGTCCTTACACAGATTATCTAACACACACAAACGCATACACACATGAACATGCTTCTCACCTCTCCCTGTCCTCTCTCTCATGCGTGCAGGGCAAGCAAAGCAAGTGGTCAGGTTAGTGGTGTGAGGGTTATTGCCGAGTTTAAAATGAGGAAACTGAGACCAGCATAAGAAAATTAAATGCCAATTTATTTAACTCCCGGGCTGCCAATCTCTTTGCTAAAACATAGCAAGAATCACCTTTAATCCAGTTTCCAACAAATTCCTCATCTCCATCTGAGATCACCTCAGCCTGGAATTCATTGTCTATATCCTACTATTCAACAAGTCTCTAGGAAATTCCACACTTCCCCACATCTTTCTGTCTTCTAAGTCCTCCAAACTGTTCCAACCTCTGACTATTACCCAGCTCCAAAGTCACTTCCACATTTTTGGGTATCTTTATAAAAGCACCCCTCTCTCTTTGGTACCAATTTACTGTATTAGTCTGTTTTCACACTGCCGTGAAGAACTGCCTGAAGCTGGGTAATTTTAAATGGAAGAGGTTTAATTGACCCTCAGTTCAGCATGGCTGGGGAGGCCTCAGGAAACTTGCAGTCACGGCAGAAGATGAAGGGGAAGCAAGGCACCTTCTTCACAAGGCAGCAGGAAGGAGAAGGGCCAAGGGAGGGGGCAGAGCCCCTTGTAAAAGCATCAAATCTCATGAGGACTCACTATCAGAGAACAGCATGGGAAAAACAGCCCCCATGATTCAATTACTTCCACGTGGTCTCTCCCTTGACACATGGGGACTTACAGGCATTACAATTCAAGGTGAGATTGGGTGGGAACACAAAGCCTAACCGTATCAGCCCTCTGGGACACAGATACTCCTGGGCATGAGCCTACCTGGGCATGAGGCTCTCATGGGCATGGACCTTACTGGGCATGGACCCTCCCGGGCATGGGGTTCTCCTGGACATGGTCCTTCCAGGGCACAGGGCTCTGTTGTGTATGGGTCCTCCTCAGCATGGACCCTCCTGGGCATGGAAACTTTCTGACATGGATGCTCCTGGAAACGGACCTCCCTGGGCATGGGCCCTCCTGGGCATGGACCTCCCTGGCATGTACCCTCCTTGATGTGGACCCTCCTGGGCATAGGCCTTCCTGGGCATGGACATTCCTGGGCATATACCCTCCCGTGCATGTACCCTTTTAGGCACAGGGGCCTTATGGGGCTCTCCTAGGCACGGGCCCTCCTGAGCCTGGGGCTCATGAACCCCATAAGGTCGGCCCAGACCATGCGGGTGGCCTTGCGAGTGGCCTCTGCCTGCCCCACGTCGGCTGCATGCTCGTTCTGTGCCCCTGCGAGAACCTGAGTGCCATCTCTCTCCAGTCCTGCAAAATGCAGAGCAGGGGGTGGGGGGAGGGGGCGGTACCTGTGGAGACACAATATGGGGTAACAGGATGGGCACGAGCCCGGGCCAGCTGGTCCACACTCGGGAGAGCTCCATCCGTCCAGCGTGGGTTTCAAGATGTCCTCCATGTAGAAACCAGCAGGATGCCCCACCTCTGCCTGGGTAGGCACCCAGTCCCTGCCCCTGACAGACATGGCTTCCAGCCTTTCCCTGAAGGAAGGACAAGAGGGCTGTGTCCCTTGACAGACCCTGGCCACCCCTCACCCCATCCCAACCCACCCCTCACCTGCATGAACGTGGTCACCCCCGCCCGCTCCGCTGAGCAGCCCCTACGTGGAGACCAGCTGCTCCCAGCCCCGCCTTGGGCGAGGAAACTTGGGCTGGGGGCCTCTAGTATGGTCCCGCCAGGAGCTTCTGAGCCCCTGCCCCTCCTCCAGATGGGTGGAGGGGAAGGGGTAAAAGGGTCCAAGGAGGGCCTGCAAGTGAAGAACCCCAAAGGGTCCCCTGGAAGACGTCCCCTGGTCCCCCGAGCCACGTGCTCCCTCCCTGCCTCCTGCCACGTGAGTGGGCAACACAGAGGGCCCCGCTAGGACTGACTCCGGGCGGGGAGTTTGATTCCAGCCCCAGGGGGTGGCGGCAAGTGTCATCAAGGCCACACCCTGGCCAGCAGGAACCCACCCTGGCCAGATGAGCTGGCTCTGGGGGTGGCAGGAGTGTGGCCCCGTCCTGGGGCTCTCGGGTCGGCCCGGCTCTGGCCTCAATCCTCTCGCCCTTATCCCTGTCCCTCTCTCTTCCCAGGAGAGCTGGTGTGAGGGCCATCCCTGCCCACCCGAGGCTCCAAGAGTGTGCACAGCGAGTTCAGGGCTGATCCTGGGCTCCTTGCTGCTGGTCCCAGCTTCCCCTGGCAGGCAGCACCGCCCGGAGCCCCCGAGGCCTGGCCCCCAGCATCCACAGTGTGCCTCCTAGGTGACGGTCACACACAGAGAGTCCTGGCTTTTGTGGGCCTTGGCGCTGGGAGGCGCAGCCAGCGCAGACGCTTCCTGGAACTCCTTGGCCATGTAGTAGTAGCAGATGGCATCCAGGCAGCAGTTGGCATCCGAGAGCTTGCTGGTTATGTAGAGGACGCGGCTGAAAGTCTTCAGGAGGCCACAGGTGTGGAGGTCCACAGCGAGGCGCACCGTCAGGGCCACATGCAGGGGCAGGAAGCAGACCACGAAGACCACGAGGTTGGCCCAAACCATGCGGGCGGCCTTGCGGGCGGCCTCTGCCTGCCCCACGTCAGTGGGTGGCCTCTGGGCCAGGGCGGTCACCACCTTCAGGGAGCAGAAGACCACCACGGCCAGCGGCAGGTAGAAGCCTAGCAGCGAGATGGCCCCGGAGCTAAAATTGTGCCGGGAGCTCCTGAAGCAGAAGCCGCCCTCCTGCGTCCCCAGGAACCAGCGAGCCACCAGGGAGCTGACGACCAGCACCCAGAGGACCACGCACACGGCCGCAGCCTGCCGGGGGGACCGCAGCCAGCGGGCGCGCAGCGGGTGCCGCACGGCCACATAGCGGTCCACGGCGATGGCAGTGACCAGGCTGATGCTCATGTACCTGTTGGTCAGGTAGATGCCCTGGGAGAGCTGGCACAGCGGCGTGTCCGAGGTATCATGCAGCGAGTGCAGCACGAAGGGCAGGGCGCACAGCAGGCACAGGTCGGCCGCCGCCAGGTTGCTCATGTAGATGCGGGTCTCCGTCCACTGCTGCATGCGGCACAGGAACACCCAGAGGGCCAGGCCGTTGAGCAGCAGGCCCAGCACCAGCAGGACGCCCGAGTAGGCGTAGAAGCCGAGCCTGAGCGGCAGGGGCCAGGTGAGGTCGATGGAGCTGCAGGCGTTGTAGCTGCCGTTCATGGTCCTGGGGCTGCGGGGGGCGCGGAGGTCAGCAGAGAGCCCGTGGGAAGAGCGAGGCGCTGCCCGCTCCACCCACCTGCCGCCGGGGATCGGGGAGGAGGTGAGCCCCGACCCCACATCCACAAGCACAAAACTCCCAAAGAAATCATGGACACCGTAAAGAACTCCAGGTCACCCTTGAGGTCTAAGCCCTGGACAGATTCCTTCCCATCTCCCGAGCCGCGCTCTCCTGGGATCTGACTGCTGTCACAGGGCAGGAAGGAGCTTCACGTCCCCGTCCAGTCCCCGGCTGAGCAAGCGCTGCTCTCCAGAGCTGACATCCTAGACAGGGAGCCCAAAGAGCTGCCAGCCTCACCCGGCACCCAGCTCAGCAGGGAGGGCTGCGAGGCAGCAGCACCTGTCAGCCTGAGGACGGGACGGCCAGGTTCCGGGACAAAGCCCAGGGGGCCCCTCCACCCCTCCCAGGACCCGGGACAAAGTCCAGGGGGCCCCTCCACCCCTCCCAGGACCCGGGACAAAGCCCAGGGGGCCCCTCCACCCCTCCCAGGACCCGGGACAAAGCCCAGGGCGGCCACATTCGACCCCACACCTCCACTCCCCTTCCCCACGGCAGAGTCCAGGACTGCCGGGCTGTGGCTGCGGCCGGCCCCTCCCTCCCTGTGAGCACCCACCCACCCAGTCCTGAGCTCTGGAGGGCCCGCCTAGATCAGCCTGAGGCCCCATCCCAGTCCTACATCTGAGATGGGGCTCCACCCCTTGAGCTCCCAGTGGTCAGAGCCCATGAGGGCAGCTCTGTCCCTCCAGGCCCTGGCCGCGCTGCTCAGGAGCCGCCCTGAGATGGTGCTGAGCGTCCCCTCCTGTCACCATTAAGACCACCACAGGGCCATCCCTCCACTGTCCATGCTGGCCTCTCACTGCCCCAACACCCTCCGCGACACAGCCCAGGAAGGCTGAGGCCAGCCCAGGGTGGACTTCAGCAGGGTCTGGCGTCCAGGACATGGGCTGGAGTCACCCTGACTCGGCCATGCCCCAGGCTGGGCAAACTTGTTTCCTCATCGTTAAGGGGTGCCGGTGTCGCACAGGGGGTGTGGTTTGAGGTGGAGCTGCTGGTGAGCACCCAGAGCCCAGGAGTCACAGCCACAGGTCCCCCCGCCCGGGCACCTCAGTGGGTCCAGGAAGAGCCTGGAGGGGTGGGGTAGGAGAAGGCCCTGCCCCGATGGCCAGGCTGTTCTCGGGGGCATCCCACAGGGGTTTCCTGCTGGCCTGGTATGGAGGCGGGAAGGACTCAGTTCACAGTGAAGGGCCTTGCTCCTCCCTCTGCCTCCTCCCTCTGCCTCCTCCCTCTGCCTCCTCCCTCTGCCTTGGGGAGCACAGAAATTCCCCCACATCAGGAGAGGGGAGAGCGCCTGAACCCCGTGACTGCAGCTGCTGGTGACCATTCGTGCTGGTGGCCCCTGGGGACTCCAGGTCTCCAGTCTATGAGGGCTGCAGGGCACAGCTTTCAGCTGGAAACAGAAACTTTCTGCTCTCCAGCTTCATCTGTCTCAGACTCGTTGCTGGCTCCCTGGTTTCAGGAGCCCTTCCCCGTGGGCAAAGCGCGGGTGCCCAGGGCCTCCCCCTCCCTTCTGATGGACCCCCTTGCTTCTCTCTGATTCACGAGCAGCACCTCGCCCTGGTTCCAGGGACCTCTGGAGGAGCCCTGAGCCAGGCCAGGCGCTGAGGACATCCCAGAACCCACTGGAACCATCCGCGGGGATCTTCCCTTCTGGTCTGTCCTGTGCTCCTGGGCCAGGGGCCGGGAGATCCCAGAACCTGCTCAGAATCTACACTTCAGAGGCACCTGCGCTGAGCCAACCCGTGCGCTGGGGAGGCCTCCGTGTGACTGGCCTCCTGTTCCCCCACCTGAGCTCTCCCATCCACCGAAGTCTAGGGTCAGCCTTGGGCAGGGTGCAGACCTGGCGGGTGGAGGGGGCTGCATGGCTAGAGGGCGATTCCTTCCTGCCCCTTCTAGAGCAGCGGCAGCCTGAGACCTGCCTCTCGGGAGGTGAGGACCGGGGGCTCGTGGGCCTGGCCCCTCCCGTTGCCCAGCTTCCCGCCCCCCACCTCCCCATGGCTGCCAAGGGGCTCTCAGGTCACGCATTCCCAGGGCCGTAACTGTCATGCTAGCCTCAGTGTGGCCCAGTATTTTGTGGGGGAAAGTTTAACTGCAGGCCCGGCACGGTGGCTCACACCTGTAATCCCAATACTGGGAGGCTGAGGCTGGAGGATCACTTGAGGCCAGAATTTTAAGAATAACCTGGGCAACATAGGGAGATCCCATCTCTACAAACAAATGTGAAAAAATGAGCCGGGCTGATGACGCGTGCCTACAGCTCCAGCTCCTCGGGAGGCTGAGGCAGGAGGGCGGGTTGAGGAAGTGGAGACCGAGCTCCGACCTCACCACTGCACCCTCGCCCTAGGAGAGAGTGAAACCCTGTCTCTAAGAAGAAGAGAAAAAGTCTAACTACAGTATTTAAAATGCTCCCATTCACAATAAAACAGACACTGAGCTGTTAGGGAGGAAAGGCAAATGCAGCACGGGCTCTGAAGAGGTTCCCTGTCCATGGGTCCTCGTCACGCCTGTCCGGTGCCTCCCAAAGCAGGAAATCGAGGCCCAGGCTTTAGCCCAGACAGCAGGGGGTCCCCGGGAGCTGCCACGGCCAGCACAGGTGCCCACCTACTGCCCCAGCCCCACCCAGGAATCCGTGTCCAGGCCACGGGCCACAGCTGGCCTCTGCCTCAGAGCCTCAGGCCCATCCTCCCTGGCAGACACCAGCACCGTCAGCCTCAGGGAGCTCCCGCTGCCAGGGACCGGGGGACGGGGCCCTGCCACTTCCTGCCCGGGAGGCTGTGGGGACAGGAGTCAGCCGCATGCCTCCGAGGGCCCGCTTCCCCTCCCGATGACACGTTCAGCGTCGGCTTCTGCACACAAAAGCAGAAAGCTGCCCTTCGGTTGTGCACGGAGCGACCTGGAGAGGAGTCTCGCCGTACATGGGAACCTCCCCGGCCCCTCCCACTGTCCGCACGGGGGCCCGCTCACACCCCCGAGTGCCCGGCTGGCCTGCAGTGGGGACCACAGGCCCTGACCACTGCCCAAGTCGTGGGGGCCAAGAGTGGGGCACAAATCCCTGCTGCCCAGGCAAAAAAGAGGGACCCATACCTGTGAGCCCTCCAGGCCTGGCCCCCACACACAACACCCCAGGACCCAGGAGGGGCCTGGGAGCGAAACAAGTTCAAAAAGATAGCTGCTCACCCCAGGGCCGCAGCACTGGGATGTTTTTCATTCTGGTTTTTAAATGCCACATACCACACTTCAGCAAGCTGGTACCCACAGGCTCCAAGTCCCCATCAGCCTCAGCCTACCTGAGACTCCATCACAGCCTCAGTCCACTCTGGAACCCCATCACAGCCTCAGCCCACACTGAGACCCCATCACAGGCTCACCCCACTCTGAGACCCCATCACAGCCTCACTCCACCCTGAGACCCCATCACAGGCTCACCCCACTCTGGGACCCCCCAACACAGCCTCACCCCACCCTGAGACTCCATCACAGCCTCACCCCACCCTGAGACCCCATCACAGGCTCACCCCACCCTGAGACCCCATCACAGGCTCACCCCACTCTGAGATCCCCCAACACAGCCTCACCCCACTCTGGGACCTCCCAACACAGCCTCACCCCACCCTGAGACTCCATCACAGCCTCAGCCCACTCTGAGACTCCATCACAGCCTCACCCCACTCTGAGACCCCATCACAGCCTCACCCCACTCTGGGACCCCCCAACACAGCCTCACCCCACCCTGAGACTCCATCACAGCCTCACCCCACCCTGAGACCCCATCACAGCCTCACCCCACTCTGAGACCCTATCACAGCCTCACCCCACTCTGAGACTCCATCACAGCCTCACCCCACCCTGAGACCCCATCACAGCCTCACCCCACCCTGAGACCCCATCACAGGCTCACCCCACTCTGAGACCCCATCACAGCCTCACTCCACCCTGAGACCCCATCACAGGCTCACCCCACCCTGAGACCCCATCACAGGCTCACCCCACTTGGAGACCCCATCACAGCCTCACCCCACTCTGAGACCTCATCACAGCCTCAGCCCACTCTGGGACCCCCCAACACAGCCTCACCCCACCCTGAGACCTCATCACAGGCTCACCCCACTCGGAGACCCCATCACAGCCTCACCCCACTCTGAGACCCCATCACAGCCTCACCCCACTCTGGGACCCCCTAACACAGCCTCACCCCACCCTGAGACCCCATCACAGTATCATCTTACTCTGAGTCCCCATCACAGCCTCACCCCACTGAGTCCCCATCACAGCCTCACCCCTATCACGCCTTTGCCCTGCTGGGAGGCCCCTGGGGCCGTGGGCAGCACTGACCTGCAGGCAGCCGTGGCCGCCCGGTGGAGTGTGTGACGGAGTGTGTGACCCCCGATGCCAAAGCCTGCGAAGGGGCTGTCTGAGAAGGGCTGGGGGAAGTGAGTCTGGTCCCTGACTCTGCCCCTCCTTAAGGCTGAGGGCAGACGGCCCTCTGACGACAGCAGGCCAGGGGTGACGGGAGTTCCCTGCTCCTGCACCAGCCTCGGGGGGATTTCTGGGAGGGAAGTGGGGTGCCGGTCCCTGGTGCTGACACCTTTGAAGAACCAGCATCCTTGCTGCGGGAAACAGCGTGAGAGGCAGCAGAAGCAGAGCCACTCCAGCCCCGCCCACGGAGCCCTGCCCCCCAGCCCACTTCTGCCCCGTCATCTCAGAAAGCCTCGGGGCGGCCTCCAGGGTCTGCAGGCAGCTCCGCCCTGCCCAACGCCTCAGGCCAGCCCCGGGAAGGGTGCAGCACGCACACTCATCCGGGCTCACGAAGACACACTCCACACCTTCCAACACACACACACACACACACACGCACACATGCATGCACATGCACACCCCAATGCACACACCAGCAC